CTTACTCAGTACAAATCAATTTATGGAGAATACACTTGATGTTATAAAACCTATTTCCATGACACCCCTTCAGGTAATGACTAATCGGTGAGGTTGCGCAATAACAGAGATTGATTAAGGTTAGACACTGACATTAATGGTCTAGAGGTTGAGCGTTTGTGAGCGAGACTAAAGGTCGTGGATTCAATTACTGCCAATGAGGATCGTGTATGAGCACTACTAACGGTCAGAACACTATGACGAAACAACCTTCCGGTGTTTGTTGGTTTCTAATGATGGTCTAACAATAAAATCGTTCCTAATTTCAATGAAACCTCAATAATCTCAGTAACTCGATATCGAAAAATAATGACTAATGGCAAAAGCAGTAAAACAAACGATGATTTATCACGTATTCAAAGTTGAAGATTTATAGATTACGTCACATTTGACATTGAGTCATCTTGTTGATCCTAAAGTGCATGATCAATACTAAAAGTACACATGAAGTAATCATGATGTCATACATTTTTAACAAACAAACTCAAAACTTGCTTTTATCAAAGCGTACATAATACATGAGATCAAATTTTTGATAACTCAGTAAATGATTACATCATTTCAAAAGGTTAACAGTATTTTTGGATGAAGGTCAAATGATCTGACATAGATGATACCTGTATAGTAGTGCAACATGGTCGAATCGATCCAATAAATCAATACATATTTATGTACAGCTTGAAATAAATCTAAAGAGTATTGTGTAAGTTGTACATTTTTAAAGCATAGCAGACTACTGAAATGAACATTGAAATCCGACGGTATTCATGTCTAACTCTGATCAGTCAAACGTTTTGCACAACCTCACCTATTGTGTTTGTAGGATACCAACGTACACCCAATAGGGTTGGACTCCATTGGTCAAGGTATCGCACTAGAATACCGGAATGAAACAGCCATCTAGTGCTCCCAAGTTTCTAATGCTGGTCTGATAATGTTTAGTTTACGATTTCGACGAATTTTTTCAATTCGACTTATGGATATCAGTGTTTTTACACATTGAGATCAGCAAACAGTCATTGTTAGACCACCATTAGAAACATGGAAGCACTGACAGACGACCGTTCAATCAATCATTGTTGATTGATAATTTCAACGTGTTGAAACACTGATCTCCAAAACTCTAATTGAGAAAATCTCACAATGCGCTCTTCAGTGACTAACTGTGAAAGTAAATTCTCGCAGTTCTGGTGAAAAGACGTGATCAGTCGAGTTCAACCCCGTGTCGGAAGTAGGCAGTAACTACCGAAGACACATGGATTGGGTCACGCAAAATCCCTAGATTAATCAGAGTTCGACACTAATACTGTTAGATGGCGCCGGCGTTTGCACGCAGGACTGAAGGTCCTGAGTTGGAATCGTGCGAGTAGCAGGAGTAATGGATGCGTCCTGCTGATGAGTTCTATACCAGGACTTGACTGCCGTTCAGTGCTTTTCGGTTTCTAATGATGGTCTAACAATGATTGATTGATGATTTCAATGTGTAATTTATAGTAAAGAGAAGTTGAGAAAATCAAAATCTCCGAGTTCTAGTGGGAAGTCGTGACCAGTGAAGTCCAACTTGTCCGGATGTATACAGGGTATGAGGTTGCGCAACTCCGTGACTTTGATCAAGTTAGACATTAACACCGTTGGATACCGGCTTAGTGGTTTAACTGTTAGGGACTTCACGCACAGTACCGATGGTCCTGGGTTCGAGTCCCGCGGTGTGCGGGAGTCGTGTATGCGCACTGCTGATGAGTCCCATACCAGGACGAAACGGCCGTCCAGTGCTTCCAGGATTCTAATGGTGATCTAACATTGGTCGATTAATGGTTGTAGATGAAACTTAACAATCTTCACAATAACCCCGCAACACATACAATTTATTAATAAGAAAACGTAAAAATAGACAGCACTTTCAAGAATTCAATGTCAAAGAACATTTAGCGATATGTTAAACATACACAAATGGAAATAAAACTAAATAATGAATACAAAGATGAGGTTACCAGCTGACTTTTTGAAATATTTTTGTTAACTAAGGCTTTAGTAATCTCAGACTATATGGCTCTTCGACTTTGCAGTCTGATGGAGATGGTAGTTTCACATTGACATCATGAATGAATCATTGTTAGATTATCATAAGAAATCTGGAATCATTAGACAACTGTTTCGTCCTAATACGGGACTCATCAGCAGTGCGCAATGACGACCCCTGCTACTTGTATGCATCGAACCCAGGAATTCGGCCCAGCCTCTGAATTATTAAGCTCCTGCTACTCGTAAAAGTCTTGGATGCTCACTGCTGACAAGTCCCAATACCAGGACGAAACGGTCATCCAGTGCTTCCACGTTTCTAATGTTGGTCTAACAATGGATTCATTCATGATTTCTAAGTAAAGTTCTTGTTTATTTGAATTCAAACATTCAAATAACCGTATTCATCTACCATCCGACTGGTACACTTACGTGCAATTTCTAATCTCATTGGCATTGATAAAGCTTTACCAAACGCATTTATAGCTATACATTGATATATTCCAGTTATGATTACATTATGCGGCACTTTGTTTTGTACATCGAAATACCATAAACCTGATTCATCATTCATCATCATCATCAGAGTATATGAATCATTCAAATTGAACTGATTTTTCTCTTCATCTGATAACGAAGTATCAATTGATTGTGATAATACTTGTTGTGATGTTGTTGTTGGTGTTGTTTTAACTGGCTGGTATGGTTTGATCCAGTTGATACGTTTACCATTCAGTGTCCAATAATATCTGTTAGGAATAAAGATTAAAAGAGAAACTATACAGTTTTGTATGTTATGTTCGTCAATTGATTGCTTGCTTGCTATTACGAGTTCACCTTAGTCAGTAAACGAGAGTGAAGACAAATGTTCAAGTGACACGATAGGCTACTGTAACCCGAACGACCCAAGGCCCTACTAAGTAGAGGAAGAAGTCTTGATATGGCGTAGACAGTGTATTCTACAAGCGTTCAGAAAATATGAGGCTGACAAGTACGCATGATAGAAACGTCCTTGGGAGAGTCACAAACATAGCGTGCTAAAACAGTACATCAACTAATAACAGTCAGGAACTTTCCGTGTGGGAAACGTAATCTCAAGGTCAGCTGATCAGCCTGTAAATAAAATCCAAAATGAGGACCTTTATCATCAAGTGAGTTCTGGCTTTTTAACGTCCCCAACAATATACATATATGTAAGGAAGAACATCGGCAGGATACTTTCAAGGGTTACTTCTGGTTCTAAGCTTGTGGATTAAGGAGTAGGGTTGGGCATTGGGTTAGCGACCCCGTCCTGTAGCAATCTAACTTGCTAAAACAAAACGCTTACAAGAAAAATCATTCACTTATCAACAGTCTATGTGTAGTGCGCGCTACTTATAAGTAGTAAATGACGCGAGTAAAAACGTTATGTCTGGCAGCAGAAGATGAGGGAAGATCAAGAAAGGAAGAGTGGGGACACAAAGAAATTCGTATAAAACGCGTGAACAGTGAAATGTCAGACAATCGATTGATGATAGATTGATATTTTGCAAATTAACGGTTTACGATATGGTTTTCCTATTTTACTGAGTAACTCTGTAATTTGGTAATATATGCACTTCATTCAAAATCTTATCCACGAATATTATTAAAAAATTAACCATCATTGAACACTTCTTGATCAAAAACGATATAAGGTAAACCGACATTAAGAAATCTGGAAGCTTTGTATAGCCGTTTCGTCCCATTATGGGACTCTTCAGCAGTACACAGTCATGACCAGTGCACGTGGGAATCAAACTCAGCTTACGGAAACACCAATTAGTATTCAGTTGCCACGACTATTCTTCGCTTATATCAATACACACCGACAATTATGGACACAAATTCGATTGGAAAAATGGAAATACTGGATAGAGGGAGTGTCCAAAGAACACTAGAGAATTTTTAGAAGCTCGGCACTCAGGTCAATCAGCAATCAACGAACACATCCACATTGTTTCAATCTTGGAACTAATCAGAAAAATCACAGGCGACATAAAAGATACAATTAAAACAAAGGTGAAAACAAGGACAGACTTAAGGTCAACAACAACCAATCACGACTGAGGTTAACAGGACAAGCTATGGGTCGAACGTGGAGAAATACGAATATTTGTGATAATGATGTTGTTCCAATGAACAATGAAAGCTCAGAGAACGAAACACCACTACAATCAAACACAGTACCTTCCAGTTTAATGTGTGTAACCCCCTAGCCTCTAGAGAACTGAGTCAGCATCAAACGGTGCTACAAACTTTACAAATCTTCTTCATGAATAACAACCATGAGCTCACTAGTGGCAAGCTTCATTAAAGAAATTTTTCTGTACTAGTGAGAAGCTACCACCAGTGGAGTTGACCTATATCAGGTGTGAGGCAGTTGTCTGTCAAACACAGTAGATGAAGTAACGCAATATCATTAACACCCTTGGGAAACTGGCTCAATGGTCAATACGGTCAAACGTTGTCTCACGTAACACCGAAGGTCCTGAGTTTAGGTCCCTGGCGCGGTATGGTGAATAAGTACTTCTTAGTAGTCCCATAACAAGATGAAACAGCCATTCAATGTTTCTAGTTTACTAACAGTAGTCTAGCTTCAATCAATTTATAATTTTAAACCATGAAAACACGACAATCTCTATAAATTTTATTTTATTCATTAAGATATTACTGAATTAAATGTTTATTAGCACAAAAAAAAACGCTTAATCAATCATGTTTTACTTTCTTAATTAAAAAAATACCATTCATTAAATACAATTTCAATCACTCTATCGATCAGGACAAATATTTACTTTTAGAATAAGAAAAAGAAAAGGTTTCTATATAACAAAAGTAGGATTGTTCAGTGTGCTTTTATTGAAAGTACAGTTTGTCATTTAACACAAGTCTCTTGTTGTTGTGAACTGGTGATTACTCAGTCATAGTGTGGTGCGAGCTACTTATAAGTAGTATATGACGTGAGTGTCAATGTAATGTCTGGCAGCAGATCGGGAAAGATCAAGAAAGGAAGAGTTAGAAAACAATGGGATTTGTATGAAACGCATGAATATTGAGTGACAATGGATTGATGTTTAGCAACAGGAACAGTCAGTCCAGTTCGATATGATGAACTGATATTTTGCAAATGAACGATTGACGATATGGTTTTCCGATTTTACTGAGTAACTAACCGTAATTTTCGTTAAATACAAATCGGTTGCCCCACCTGTGTTCTCGTTCACTACAATAGAACAAACTATTCTCTTGTTGAGAAGGATAAATCAGAAGAGATAAAGTTTAACTTAACATCTCAAAGAAAGGTGAATCAATCAACACACAATGTGATTCGAGGTATATCTCATAACTGTCAACAGAATTAGGGAATAGGTGAAAACGAGAAAGTTCAAGACAGAGTTCACTAGTGATCCCTAGTTAGCGGCCGTTACTCTTTGAAGCTTAACTGAAAATGTTAGTAATGATTGTAGGTAAACCTATATTCATATTCATGTGTCATTTATCTCGGGAGTCTTATCAGTGCCGATGGCCTGATGACTGACGAAATCTCAGCACGGATACATAAGGCTTGAATGGCATTAGTCAACGCGCGTCACTTATGGTGTAGGCAAGATGTCCAGTTGCTAATAAAAGGACGAGTTCATTCCGTCCTACTATATGGTTGCGAAACATGGACAGTCGGAGTGGAAGATATTCGTGGATTAAAGGTTTTCGATCATAGGTGTCTTCGAAGCATTGCTCGTATATCCTGGGACACCGGAGTGACCAACGCTGTTATTAGGAAACGGGTGCTAGGTAAGAATGGCAGATCAATAGATGAAGTAATGAAACTTCATCAATTGAGGTGGTTGGGACATGTGTTGCGTATGCCTAACCACCGACTGCCTCGACGAGCTAAGTTTTGTAGTGTAGGAGTAGGTTGGAAGAAAGGTAAGGATGGTCAGACCAAAACATGACAGAAATCCATGAAGTTACTGACAACTGGACTGAGTCATGTTGGTAGATGTAGGCTACCTGGTTGGGGTCCGCCAGATGATAGTAATCGATGGTTAGAAACCTTGAATGACATGGCTCAGAATCGTTTGCAAAGGAGCAGGTGCATCCACTCTTTGTGTTCTATGAAATTCTAATCTTCTGAATTCGTCAACACCTCTACCTTTGTCTTTCTAAATTTATCTCACTGAATTATACTTTTTGAATCATATCTTCGCTCCCTAATCTTCTCCATTACTGCTAATACTTCTGTTATCGCTATCACTCTTGGATTTGAAGTGACAGTTACGTATTTGTGCTGATGTGGTTTGGCAACATGAACTGATGTACTTATGTACGAACTTCTGCGTTGTTGTTCTGTCTGTCCGTCTGTCTATCTCACCATATTTGATACATTTGCCTTTCACTCTCATATGTACTTTACGATAAGAAAATATTATTTTAATAAAATACGATAGCCCAATATGAAAGGATATTTCATGTAGATTTATGAAGATTGTTGTTTACTAGTGAAATCATGAAACAAACATTGTTAGACCATCATTAGAATCATGGAAGCATAGACGGCCGCGTCCATGACTCCTGATACTGGCAGGATTCGAATTCGGGGCCTTAGGTCCTACACGCGAATGCCTAACCTTCAACGGTTTTAATGTCTAACTCTAATCAGTCAAGGGGTTTTGTACGATCTGACCCATTTGTCTTCGGTAGTTACTGCCTACACCGGACGACAAGTTTTAACTGCACGAATCCGAAGGGTTTTAGGTTTACATCTTGCTAGTAGCATGAATCGTGCATGTGCATTGTAGATGGGTCGCATACTAGGACGTAAAGGCTGCCCAATGCGTCCAGGCTTCTAATAGTAATCTAACAATGACTTCTATCTGAAGTTTGTGCTGATGATGTTGTTCAGAATAAGAACAATGAAAGCTACACAACCAAAACACACAGCTCAGAGAACCAAATACCACCACCACAATCATCCACCTGAGCTACAAATCTTCTCCACCATCTCACTGATTCGTGATTTCAGTAAAAAAAGATACTGGACAGGAATTTCGTATATCGTATAATGAATCCGGAGAATTTCTTACTGTAATCACGTATACAAATTATCAAATCAAATCGTTAGTATGATTCTCATTATTATCAACATATACAAGGGTGGAAGCAAGATCTTTCGATAAAAAATACACAGCAAGCACCAGTAAGTAAGTAAGTAAGCAGCACACAACCACTCGAAAATAAACAACTAAGGTTATAATCGAATTACTGATAAGTTCGGGAGGCATGTGACTGAAGACTAGGATAGAGGAAGTTAGTTTGTCCAAAAGCTAGGACGAGTCATGTGGGCACAGCCTAATGATACTTGCACTACATACCATTTGAAAGCTGGAAGCACTGGACGGCCGTTTCTCCATAGTATGGAACTCATTGGTGGAAGTACGTATCTACTATCAGCGCTTACGGAAAATGAACGCAGGACCTTTCGTTTAGCGTGCTAGACTATTGAGCCGGCATCCAACTGTGTTAATTTCTACCTTTAATCAATCGAAGGTATTGCGCAACCCCACCTATTGTCTGTAGGAGGTAACTACCCACTCCCAACACGATTGAAATCTACTAGTCCTGGTTCCACATTAGAACTCAGAGAAATTTCCTTACGAAGTTAATCAATAGTGAGCACAGTGATCTGTTCATCATTTTAAGCTTTGAAAGATTCTCGGAGTGAAGTTCATCCGTGTCGGATGTAGGCAGTTACTACCGAAGAAAATCACTGAGTTTGTACAAAATCCTTAGATTAACCTGAGTTAGACATGAACAACGTTGGATGAGGACTTTGTAGTCCATAGGTTAGATATTCGCGAGCAAGATCGAAAGTCCCGTGTTCGATTCGCATGCGCTGAGGACATCAGCGTGCACTCCCGATGAGTCACACATACTAGGATCATACAACCATTCCGTGTTTTCATATTTCTAATGTTAGCCTAACAATGATTCATTGATGATGCGTAAATTTCAATTAAAAATACTAAAACAATCCTCAACTAACAACCACTTACTTATGTAATATAATATTCTTACTGATTACAACTCAACCAATGTGTTTTTTCTCTCTCACCATGGTAACCAACCAGTCTTTTATGAAAAACAATGATCAATTACTTTATGCACAATTTTTCATTTTAATTTTTTTTTTACTTATTTTGATGACAAATCAATCCAAGTTTACGTAATTTACAGAAAAAAACATTTTTTATTAAATGTACTTTACAAATTTGAACGGGGTTTATTTTTTCGGTCAAATCTTCTGTCTGACTAGACAAATATAATGAAATAAATGAGACATTGATTATTTGGGTCAGAGTTTTAGAGATTTGCGTTTTTACACATTTGAAACCATGAATCGATCAATTTTAGACCACCATTAAAAACCTGGAAGCACTGAAAGACGCCCGTTTCGTCCTAGTATGGGACTCATCAGTGCGGCCGCACTGATGAGTCCATACTAGGACGAAACGGCCGTCTTTCAGTGCTTCCAGGTTTTTAATGGTGGTCTAAAATTGGTCGATTCATGGTTTCAAATGTGTAAAAACGCAAATCTCTAAAACTCTGCCCCAAAATTGTCAATGTCTCATTTATTTCATTATATTTGTCTAGTCAGACAGAAGATTTGACCGAAAAAATAAACCCCGTTCAAATTTGTAAAGTACATTTAATAAAAAATGTTTTTTTCTGTAAATTACGTAAACTTGGATTGATTTGTCATCAAAATAAGTAAAAAAAAAATTAAAATGAAAAATTGTGCATAAAGTAATTGATCATTGTTTTTCATAAAAGACTGGTTGGTTACCATGGTGAGAGAGAAAAAACACATTGGTTGAGTTGTAATCAGTAAGAATATTATATTACATAAGTAAGTGGTTGTTAGTTGAGGATTGTTTTAGTCTCTTAATTGAAATTTTCGCATCATCAATGAATCATTATTAGGCTAACATTAGATATATGAAAACGCGGAATGGTCGCATGATCCTAGTATGTGGGACTCATCGGGAGTGTACAATCATGTGCCCAGCATATGGGAATCAAACATAGGACCTTCGGTCTTGCTCGCGAATATCTAACCTATGGACTACAAAGTCCTCATCCAACGTTGTTCATGTCTAACTCAGGTTAATCTAAGGATTTTGTACAAACTCAGTGATTTTCTTCGGTAGTTACTGCCTACACCCGACACGGATGAACTTCACTCCGAGAATCTTTCAAAGCTTAAAATGATGAACAGATCACTGTGCTCACTATTGATTAACTTCGTAAGGAAATTTCTCTGAGTTCTAATGCGGAACCAGGACTAGTAGATTTCAATCGTGTTGGGAGTGGGTAGTTACCTCCTACAGACAATAGGTGGGGTTGCGCAATACTTTCGATTGATTAAGGGTCGAAATTAACACGGTTGGATGCCGGCTCAATAGTCTAGCACGCTAAACGAAAGGTCCTGCGTTCATTTTCCGTAAGCGCTGATAGTAGATACGTACTTCCACCAATGAGTTCCATACTATGGAGAAACGGCCGTCCAGTGCTTCCAGCTTTCAAATGGTATGTAGTGCAAGTATCATTAGGCTGTGCCCACATGACTCGTCCTAGCTTTTGGACAAACTAACTTCCTCTATCCTAGTCTTCAGTCACATGCCTCCCGAACTTATCAGTAATTCGATTATAACCTTAGTTGTTTATTTTCGAGTGGTTGTGTGCTGCTTACTTACTTACTTACTGGTGCTTGCTGTGTATTTTTTATCGAAAGATCTTGCTTCCACCCTTGTATATGTTGATAATAATGAGAATCATACTAACGATTTGATTTGATAATTTGTATACGTGATTACAGTAAGAAATTCTCCGGATTCATTATACGATATACGAAATTCCTGTCCAGTATCTTTTTTTACTGAAATCACGAATCAGTGAGATGGTGGAGAAGATTTGTAGCTCAGGTGGATGATTGTGGTGGTGGTATTTGGTTCTCTGAGCTGTGTGTTTTGGTTGTGTAGCTTTCATTGTTCTTATTCTGAACAACATCATCAGCACAAACTTCAGATAGAAGTCATTGTTAGATTACTATTAGAAGCCTGGACGCATTGGGCAGCCTTTACGTCCTAGTATGCGACCCATCTACAATGCACATGCACGATTCATGCTACTAGCAAGATGTAAACCTAAAACCCTTCGGATTCGTGCAGTTAAAACTTGTCGTCCGGTGTAGGCAGTAACTACCGAAGACAAATGGGTCAGATCGTACAAAACCCCTTGACTGATTAGAGTTAGACATTAAAACCGTTGAAGGTTAGGCATTCGCGTGTAGGACCTAAGGCCCCGAATTCGAATCCTGCCAGTATCAGGAGTCATGGACGCGGCCGTCTATGCTTCCATGATTCTAATGATGGTCTAACAATGTTTGTTTCATGATTTCACTAGTAAACAACAATCTTCATAAATCTACATGAAATATCCTTTCATATTGGGCTATCGTATTTTATTAAAATAATATTTTCTTATCGTAAAGTACATATGAGAGTGAAAGGCAAATGTATCAAATATGGTGAGATAGACAGACGGACAGACAGAACAACAACGCAGAAGTTCGTACATAAGTACATCAGTTCAGGTTGCCAGACCACATCAGCACACAGACGAAACTGTCAGTTCAAATCCAAGAGTGATAGCGATAGTAGAAGTATTAGCAGTAATGGAGAAGATTAGGGAGCGAAGATATGATTCAAAAAGTATAATTCAGTGAGATAAATTTAGAAAGACAAAGGTAGAGGTGTTGACGAATCCAGAAGATTAGAATTTCATAGAACACAAAGAGTGGGATGCCACCTGCTCCTTTGCAAACGATTCTGAGCCATGTCATTCAAGGTTTTCTAACCATCGATTACTATCATCTGGCGGACCCCAACCAGGTAGCCTACATGCTCACCAACATGACTCAGTCCAGTTGTCAGTAAACTTCATGGATTCTGTCATGTTTTTTGTCCTGGACCATCCTTACCTTTCTTCCAACCTACTCCTACACTACAAAACTTAGCTCGATCGATGGCAGTCCGGTGGTTAGGCATACGCAACACATGTCCCAACCACCTCAATTGATGAAGTTTCATTACTTCATCTATTGATCTGCCATTCTTACCTAGCACCCGTTTCCTAATAACAGCGTTGGTCACTCCGGTGTCCCAGGATATACGAGCAATTGCTTCGAAGACAACCTAATGATCGATAAAACCTTAATCCACGAATATCTTCCACTCCGACTGTCCATGTTTCGCAACCATATAGTAGGACGGAATGAACTCGTCCTTTTATTAGCAACTGGACATCTTGCCTACACCATAAGTGACGCGCGTTGACTAATGCCATTCAAGCCTTATGTATCCGTGCTGAGATTTCGTCAGTCATCAGGCCATCGGCACTGATAAGACTCCCGAGATAAATGACACATGAATATGAATATAGGTTTACCTACAATCATTAATAACATTTTCAGTTAAGGTCCAAAGAGTAACGGCCACTAACTAGGGATCACTAGTGAACTCTGTCTTGAACTTTCTCGTTTTCACCTATTCCCTAATTCTGTTGACAGTCTATGAGATATACCTCGAATCAACATTTGTGTGATTGCATTGATTCACCTTTCTTTGAGATGTTAAGTTAAACTTTATCTCTTCTGATTTATCCTTCTCAACAAGAGAATAGTTTGTTCTATTGTAGTGAACGAGAACACAGGTGGGGCAACCGATTTGTATTTAACGAAAATTACGGTTAGTTACTCAGTAAAATCGGAAAACCATATCGTCAATCGTTCATTTGCAAAATATCAGTTCATCATATCGAACTGGACTGACTGTTCCTGTTGCTAAACATCAATCCATTGTCACTCAATATTCATGCGTTTCATACAAATCCCATTGTTTTCTAACTCTTCCTTTCTTGATCTTTCCCGATCTGCTGCCAGACATTACATTGACACTCACGTCATATACTACTTATAAGTAGCTCGCACCACACTATGACTGAGTAATCACCAGTTCACAACAACAAGAGACTTGTGTTAAATGACAAACTGTACTTTCAATAAAAGCACACTGAACAAACCTACTTTTGTTATATAGAAACCTTTTCTTTTTCTTATTCTAAAAGTAAATATTTGTCCTGATCGATAGAGTGATTGAAATTGTATTTAATGAATGGTATTTTTTTAATTAAGAAAGTAAAACATGATTGATTAAGCGTTTTTTTTTGTGCTAATAAACATTTAATTCAGTAATATCTTAATGAATAAAATAAAATTTATAGAGATTGTCGTGTTTTCATGGTTTAAAATTATAAATTGATTGAAGCTAGACTACTGTTAGTAAACTAGAAACATTGAACGGCTGTTTCATCCTGGTATAGGACTACTAAGAAGTACTTATTGATCATACCGCGCCTGGGAACTAAACTCAGGACCTTCGGTCTTTTGTGCGACTCCGTTTGACAAAACTGACCCCTGAGCCAGTTTCCAACGGTGTTAATGACACTGTGTTACTTCATCAATCGTGTTTGACAGACAGCTGATATAGTTCAACTCCATTGGTGGCAGCTTCTCACTAGTATAGAGAAAATTTTTTCATGAAGCTTGCCACTAGTGTGCTCATGGTTGTTATTCATGAAGAAGATTTGTAAAGTTTGTAGCACCGTTTGATTCTGACTCAGTTCACTAGAGGCTAGGTGGTTACACACATTAAACTGGAAGGTACTGAGTTTGATTGTAGTGGTGTTTCGTTCCCTGAGCTTTCATTGTTCACTGGAACAACATCATTATCACAAATATTCGTATTTCTCCACGTTTGACCTATAGCTTGTTCTGTTAACCTCAGTCGTGATTGGTTGTTGTTGACCTTAAGTCTGTCCTTGTTTTCACCTTTGTTTTAATTGTATCTTTTATGTCGCCTGTGATTTTTCTGATTAGTTCCAAGGTTGAAACAGTGTCGATGTGTAGATGTTGACTGATGATTGACTTGAGTGCCAAGCTTCTAAAAATTCTCTAGTATTCTTTGTGCTTTCCCTATCCAGTATCTGCAAATTGTTCCAATCGAATGTAGTATGTCCATAATTGCCGGTGTGTATTGATATAAGCCATGAATTGTCATGACGTTTGACTGCTAAATGATGTTCACGTAAACTGAGTTCGATTCTCACGTGGACTGGTCATGAATGTGTACTGCTGAAGAGTCCCATAATAGGACGAAATGGCTATACAAAGCTTCCAGATTTCTTAATGTCAGTCCGTCTTGAATCAGTTATGATCAAGAAGTGTTCAATGATGGTTAATTTTTTAATAAAATTTGTGGATGTGATTTTGAATGACGTACATATTTTACCAAATTACAGAGTTAATCGGTAAAATAGGAAAACTATATCGTAAATCGTTAATTTGCAAAATATCAATACATCATATCGAACTGGACTGTTCCTGTTGCAAAACATCAATCGATTGTCTGACATTTCACTATTCATGTGTTTCATACAAATTCCATTGTGTTCTAACTCTTCCTTTCTCTTGATCTTCCCCCATCTTGTGCTGCCAGACATTACGTTGACACTCACGTCATATACTACTTATAAGTAGCGTGCACTACACATAGACTGTCGACAAGTGAATGATTTTAACTTGTAAGCGTTTTGTTTTAGCAAGTTAGATTGCTACGAGATGGGGTCGCTAACCCAATGCCCAACCCTACTCCTTAATCCACAAGCTTAGAACCAGAATTAACCTTAGAAAGTATCCTGGCGGTGTTCTTCCTTGCATATATATATATTGTTGGGGAGATTAGATACCCAGAGCTCACTAGATGATAAAGGTCCTCATTTTTGATTTTAGGTTTTAGTGCATGCGCTGATCGGTTGACCTTGAGATTACATTTCCCACCCCGAAAATCCTTGACTGTTATTAGTTGATGTACTATTTTAGCACGCTATGTTTGTGGCTCTCCCAAGGACGTTCCTATCATGTATAAATAAACTTGATTTGTGTGCTTGTGGACCTCATATTTTCTGGTTGCTTGTAGAATACACTTTCTACGCCATATCATGACATCTTCCTCAACTTAGTTAGGCTTTGGGTCGCTCGAATTAGAGTAGCCTATCGTGTCATTGGACCATTTGTCTTCTCTCTCGTTTACCGACTAAGGTGAACTCGTAATAGCATTCAAGCATATCAATTGACGAGCATAACATACAAAACTGTATAGTTTCTCTTTTTATCTTTATTCCTAACAGATATTATTGGACACTGAATGGAAAACGTATCAATTGGATCAAACCATACCAGCCAGTTAAAACAACAACAACAATAACATCACCACAAGTATTATCACAATCAATTGATACTTCATTATCAGATGAAGAGATGAAAAATCAATTCAGTTTGAATGATTCATATAATCTGATGATGATGATGGATGATGAATCAGGTTTATGGTATTTCGATGTACAAAACAAAATATCGAATAATGTAATGATAACTGGAATATATCAATGTATAGCTATAAATGCGTTTGGTAAAGCTTTATCAATGCCAATGAGATTAGAAATTGCACGTAAGTGTACCAGCCAGATGATAGATGATTACGATTATTTGAATGTTTAAATTCAAATAAACAAAGAACTTTACTTAGATATCATGAATGAATCCGTTTGTAGACCAACATTAGAAACCCGGAAGGCACTGGACGACCGGGAATGTACAATCATGTGCCCAGCATATGGGAATCAAACATAGGACCTTCGGTCTTGCTCGCGAATATCTAACCTATGGACTACAAAGTCCTTATCCAACGTTGTTCATGTCTAACTCTGGTTAATCTAAGGATTTTGTACAAACTCAGTGATTTTCTTTTGCGGTTACTGCCTACATCCGACAGGGTTGAACTTCACTGGTTACGTGTTCTCACTAGAACTCTGAGAACCTTACGAAGCTTGAAATAATGAATAGATCAGGGTGTATAGTGATAAACATAAAAATGTGCTCACTAGTGATTAGCTTCTTCGAGTTCTAATGAGGAACCGTGACCAGTAGATTTCAGTCGTGTTGGGAGTGAACTTTACTTAGAAATTATGAATGAATTCGTTTGTAGACCAACATTAGAAACCCGGAAGGCACTGGACGACCGTTTCGTTTTTGTATGGGGACTCATTAGCAGTGAGCATCCAAGACTTTTACGAGTAGCAGGAGCTCAACGATTCAGAGGCTGGGCCGAAGTCCTGGGTTCGATGCCTACAAGTAGCAGGAGTTGTCGTTGCGCACTGCCGATGAGTCCCGTATTAGGACGAAACAGTTGTCAGGTGATTCCAGGTTCCTAATGATGGTCTAACAATGATTCATTCATGACGTCATAGTAAAACTACCATCTCCATCAGACTATAATGCAGAGTCAAAGAACTACACAGTTCGAGATTTCTAAAGCTTTAGTTAACTAACATATTTCGATAAGTCAGTTTGCATCCTCTTCTTTGTATTCATTATTTGATCTCACTTTCATTAATGTATGTTTAACAGACCGCTAAATGTTCTTTGACATTGAGTTCTTGAATGTCACGTGTAGTTTTAACGTTCTCTTTTTAATAAATTGTATGTGTTGCGGGGTTGTTGTGAAGATTGTTAAGTTTTATTTGTAACCATGAATCGATCAATGTTAGACCACCATTAGAAACCTGGAAGCACTGGACGGCCGTTTCATCCTTGTATGGGACTCATCAGCAGTGCGCATCCACGACTCCTGCACCCCACAGGATTTGAACCCAGGACCTTCGGTATTGTGCGCGAACGCACTAACTGTTAGACCAATGAGCCGGTATCTAACGGTATTGTTAATGTCCAACTTGATCAAATTCACGGAGTTGCGCAACCTCATACCCTGTATACATCCGGACAGGTTTGAACTTTACTGGTCACGACTTCCCACTAGAACTCGGAGATTTTGATTTTCTCAACTTCTCTTTACTATAAATTACACATTCAAATCATCAATCACTCATTGTTAGAACACCATTAGAAATCTGAAAGCACTAAACAGCTGTCAAGTCGTGGTATGGAACTCGTCAGCAGTGCGCATCCACGACTCCTGCTACTCGCAGGATTCCAAACCAGGACCTCCGGTCTTGTGCGCGAACGCCTAACCATCGGACCACTGGGCCGGTATCCAACGGTCTTAATGTCTAACTCTGATTGATCTAGGGATTTTGCGCGACCCCATCCATTTGTGTTCGGTAGTTACTGCCTTCACCTGGCAGGTTTGAACTCTACTGGTCGCATCTTCTCACTAGAAGTTCCGGAATTTCCCCACGAAGTTAGTCACCAGTGAGCACTTTGTGCGATTTTCATAATTAGAGTTTTGGAGATCAGTGTTTCAACATGTTGAAATTATCGATCAACAACGATTGATTGAACGGCCGTCTGTTAGCGCGTCCAGGTTTCTAATGGTAGTCATACAATGACTGTTTGGTGATCTCAATGTGTAAAAACACTGATCTCCATAAGTTGAATTGGAAAAATTCGTCGAAATCATAAACTAAACATTATCAGACCAGCATCAGAAACTTGGGAGCACTAGATGGCTGTTTCATTCCGGTGTTCAAGTGAGAGAAGCCTTGACCAATGGAGTCCAACCCTATTGGGTGTAGGTTGGTATCCTACAAACACAATAGGTGAGGTTGTGCAAAACGTTTGACTGATCAGAGTTAGACATGAATACCGTCGGATTTCAATGTTCATTTCAGTAGTCTGCTATGCTTTAAAAATGTACAACTTACACAATCCTCTTTAGATTTATTTCAAGCTTTACATAAATATGTATTGATTTATTGGATCGATTCGATCATGTTGCACTACTATACAGGTATCATCTATGTCGGATCATTTGACCTTCATCCAAAAATACTGTTAACCTTTTGAAATGATGTAATCATTCATTGAGTTATCAAAAAGTTGATCTCATGTGTTATGTATGCTTTGATAAAAGCAAGTTTTGAGTTTGTTTGTTAAAAATGTATGACATCATGATTACTTCATGTGTACTTTTAGTATTGATCATGCATGTAGGATCAACAAGATGACTCAATGTCAAATGTGACGTAATCTATAAATCTTCAACCTTGAATACGTGATAAATCATCGTTTGTTTTACTGCTGTGGCCGTTTGTCATAATTTTTCGATATCGAGTTACTTAGATTATTGAGGTTTCATTGAAATTAGGAACGATTCATTGTTAGACCATCATTAGAAATACACAAGCACTAGAGAGTTGTCTCGTTCTAGTGTTCGGCCTGTCAGTAGTGCTCATCCACGATTCTCACTGGCGGGAATCGAACCCAGGACTTTTAGTCTCATGCACAAGCGCTGAACCACTACTGTCAATGTCTAAACTTAATCAATCTCTGATATTGAGCAACCTCACCCATTAGTCATTAACTGAAGGGATTTTATGGAAATCGGTTTTATAACATCAGTTGTATTCTCTATAAATTGATTTGTACTGAGTAAGTGGTCACCTCGATGTTCACTGTTCATGTTAGTTGTGATGTGTTGGGAAAAAAAGCTGGAGACAAGCGTCAGTTCATGAAGTCACCTAGTGCTGATCTAAGCCATGTTCAGTGGTTGTAAACTCATGGATACATCGCGAAAGATTGATCACAGCTTAGATGCGTTCATATTTTTTTAGGCTCTATTCAATCTTGAGGTTCAACAATATCTTGTACTTGAAATCCTTCGGATTCATTCGTTTTGAAACTATATTCTGCGATTTATCAATGTTAGATGGTGAGTAACAGTGAAATCGAGGACATACACCAGGACAGACAAAATATTTATCGTTACTACTAACAGATTTCATTTTTACTTATCAAATTGGGACTAATTACATTTATTAAATATTTTGGAAATGATTTAATAAGTGGATTATTATATCGATTGTTGAGTCCCTGAAAAATTCCTGATACTGTCAAGAGTGGAAAGAGTTCACTCCCTCTCTACAAATGGTCTTTCATTGCATTGTGTATATAAGCCACTCTCAAACAAAACCTACTCACTGCCTTTTCATCGCGAAGTGGTTGTTTACCTAATTGAGAGCATGAAAAACGAATGTCCGACCAAGAGGTGGGTTGCAAAACTCTCATTCCAAACTAATGTTACACATGAACTCCACAATCGTGATGGAATGAACAGTACATCAACCTGCCAGTCGTCATCAATTACCATCTGACTGCATCACCCAATGTCACTCTATTGTGTTGTGAGTTGGACATTCGGATGAAAGGCTAGATTAGTGTTCCTTAGAGAAAACTGCCTGTTTTGATTTCGGCCGTTTTATTCTCCTTTTCAAATTTATTTCATTGGATTCTACTTCTTGACTAATATTTTGAAATCCTATGCTTCACCAGTATCGCTAATACTTCTACTACCTCTACTACTATAAGATTTGAATGGACAGTTTCATCTGTCTGTGCTAATGTGATATGACAACTGGAATTGATATACATAGATTACAAGTTCTCTATCGTACCTAACTGATTGACTGACTGATTTCGGTTTGGAGGTCTGGGAAATATCTTAGCCTACTCATAATCGTTAGAGTTTCAACACAAATGTTATTTTCTGCTTGATCTCTTGCAATTCCATAGCCTTTACAATCTTGTCGAACTTATGTACATGGTAGTCAGGGGTAATGCATATGTTTTTGTCAGGTTCCACGTAGATGAAAAGTGACTGATTTTACTCCGTCTACAGTAATAACGAATCTGGGTTCAATAGTCTTGGATGTGAGACAGTTATCCAATATCTATCAAAGTGAAACCAATACATCACTGAATACTGAATAAGTTGTCTAAAAGTGAAGAAGTCATGTTTTCGATTCCTTGGGACAAGGTCATGGGTGAATAATCTTTGTCGGGTCAGCGTTTTTTTCAGAGAGTTGGAACTGGAAACAGATGTGAAAAGAACGAGTAGGAATTGGGTAGAATTGGGAAGGAAGGTTTACGACGGATGAGGTTAGAGAATTACGGCCTATGACCGATGCTCTATTAAGCGGTAACAGACATAAGTAAGTAAGAAAGTGCATAAGTGCATAAGTAAGTAAGTAAGTATGTATGTAAGTAAGTAAGTAATTAAGTAATTAAGTAAGTAAGTAGGTAAGTAAGTAAGTAAGTAAGTAAGTAAGTAAGTAAGTAAGTAAGTAAGTGAGTAATTAAGTAAGTGCATGCGTGCATAAGTAAGTAAGTAAGTGAGCAAGTAAGTAAGCAAGTAAGTGCATGCGTGCATAAGTAAGTAAGTAAGTAAGCAAGCAAGGGTCATGGATGCAAAGTTCTACATTCAGACGAAACATTTGCGCAATGTTTCCTCATTTTCAAAAAATTTGTCTTATCATCTTATTTCTTACTAACATTTTCTTCTTTTCAAAAAATTTAAATTTTTCCGCACTAGGCATTGGAACATTTCATGATCTTAATGCAAAAACCATTTTAATTAAACCAAATGAAACAAACATTTTAAATTGTTCCACTACAAAAAGTATACCAACAGCAAAAATTCAATGGATGGTTAAAAATGATGAAGATGGTTTTATGAATTTTGTACATGAAGATGAAAATCACATGATGGATGATAATGGTAAGTTTCTAATGCATTTTTTACGGTATAATAATATATTTTATGATATAATGTTGGCTGTGTTTCCATTTTGAAATGGTGAATCAATCCTTGTTAGATGAACATTAAAAATATGGAAGCACCGTAGCTGCTATCCTGACTGTAGCTACTACCTTGACGTGATGGTTGGGCTTGCCTATCGTGATGACCCAGCTGAGCTATATTGGCTGGAACATATGTTCCTGAAGGTTCTACCATGCCAGGCAGGTCGATTGGAGAACGATGAGACTAAAAACAGCTACTCAAGGTCTGAGGGTGAAGTCGTACTGCTGAGTGACTGTAGACGGGTGTGAGAGCAGTAAGATGTTTCTGTTGAACGACCAGTATCCGTAGAAATGCTGCCTTTTCACAAGGAAGGAGAGGTTAGAAAAGGTCGATCCTAACAATGTCACACCTCACCCTATCTCACGGATTCCGTCTCCGGAGGTGCCCACTAAGAGCTTTCAAGAGTGGAGCTAATACTCAAAAAACCTCTCATAAAAAGGCCGTGCGTGATCGGCCTCAAGCAGTTATTCCTTGAGCTCTGCAGTCATGCTCCCAGGTCCTTAAGATCAACACTAATCTACCTTCTTTTTCAAGTCCCTCAAGAAACAACCCTCCATGGTGTGAGCAACAGTGAAGTGACAACCGCCCTCATAACCGTAATAGCACACGAGACCAAACTGGTCAAAATCAAATCCTTCCTACACCCCCTATTGGGGGCACTGGATGTCCGTTTCGCTCGACTTACCAGCAGTGAGCACTCACGACCCTCGACTGCGGGCATCAAACCAAGAACCTTTCGTCTCGCGTGTGAACGCCTAATCTCTAGATCACTAAGTCAGCATGTCTAAGGCGTTTGCAACACCTCACCCACTGTCTTTGGTTGGTAACAGCCTCACACTGGACACGGTTGAACTCCACTAGTACATAGAGATAGACAGTAGCTAGCAATGAAATCCAGTATACGTGTTTCGGCTCACATCGGACTCTTCAGCTGGATGCTCCTTCATTCTTAGAGTTGATGCTTATTATGAGACTTTGACCTATTTGGTTATCCATTTAGGCACTGAGTCCAGTTAACCCATAGTTTGACTTCAACTAAGGTACAGGTAGATCTAATTGATAAGTTCTGAATAGGATTCATTCCTGAGTTTGTTACTAATAATCATAGTCCATTTACTACATGTTAGTTAGTACATTTAGTTCTCAGATAAATGTATTGACCTATTTGTAAACTCTTCATCAGTGTTCATTTAAGATTGAACTAAGCATTCAGCTGAAAACATCTTTTTTATCGACTTTCTATTTGAGTTGTGATCATCTTTATCATTAGTGAGTTAGATATCACAAACTCTACTCATAAATATCAAGTGAGTAGTCCAGATCTGTCCGTCCGTAGTTTGAGTATACAGTAGGACAAGTTTTTTTTTTAAAAAGCAAGAAGAGACTGGATAAGTTTCGCTTGGAAAAATATTTGCTTTCTTCTGAATGATAAGTTTTGAATAACAATCAAAATGATATCGACCTTGAGAGCCTTCAATCACTTACTTACATACTTACATACTTACTTACGCCTGTTACCCCCAATGGAGCATAGGCCGCCCACCAGTTTTCTCCAACCAACTCTGTCTTGGGCTTCTCTCTCCAGTTCTGTCCAATTTTTGTTCATTCTTCTCATATCTTTCTCTATTTCTCGGGCGTAATGTGTTCCATGGCCTTCCTCTTTTACTTTCACCTTGAGGGTTCTAAGTGAGGGCTTGTCTTGTGACGCAGTTAGGTGCTTCCCGCAATGTGTGTCCTATCCACCAACTCCACAGCTTCTTCCTGATTTCCTCCTCCATTGGAATCTGGTTTGTTCTCTCCCACAGTACATTATTGCTGATCGTGTCTGGCCAACGAATACGAAGTATTTTGCGTAGACATCTGTCCATAAATACTTGTATCTTCTGGATGATGGCTTTGGTAGTTCTCCAATTTACCGCTCCATACAGTAGAACTGTCTTGACATTTGTATTGAAAATTCTGATTTTGGTTTTGTTTGAAAGTTGTTTGGAGTTCCAGATATTTTTCAACTGCCGATTTAATCAATTACTTGTAAAATAATTACTTACTTTCTTACTTTTCCCTGTCATCGCTAATCGAGCATAGGCCATCGACCAGTACTTTTTAACCTACTCTATCCTAGTCTTTTCTTACCAGTCCTCATCAACTATTGTACATGCTTCTCATGTCTACTTTCAATTCTCAGCATAATGTGTTCTTTGGTCTTCCTCTTTTCCATCGGCCTTTAGGGTTCGAAGTGAGAACTTGTCTTATGTCACAGTTGGATGCTTGCCTCAATGTTTCTAATATAACAATAGACTGAAAACAGTTTATTTATATCATTTTTTCTGTTTGTTTGAAATAAGTCAGTCAATACTTGGTACTGAATACGGAAATGATGATGATTATTATTATTATTATTATTATTATTATTATTATTATTATTATTATTATTACTATAGCGAATAGTTATTTAATGACACTAACAAGTGTACGAAAAGATTGAGAAGCAAGTGTTAAAAGTTGATCTAATCTATAAAATAAAAACAGTTCATCTGCAAAGATAAGTAATCAGTTTTAGTAATTCCTTTGTCATCCTCAAATTCTACTGTTGCTTGACAGCGAAGTGATGTAAAATTCAGGCACTTACAGCAAGATATCCAAAAGTGGGGGTTGTGAACCGTCAATGTCCATTGTCAAGACAGCTCTGTCCAAGTGGTTTCTAGTTATAAATGATTCTCGAAGTAAAATCAATCTTACAGTTTGGTATATATTGGCTTAAATTATATCCCTGAATGTAAAACAAATAGACCCAATTTGTTTCTTCTCATATGAAACATCAAATGAGAATTTTGAAGAATATTGCATCCAATAGTGAGCTAACTTTTACAATGAAATTCTGAATCCAATCATAGTTAGATCACCATTAGAAAATTGGAAGCAGTGTGAATGGTCGTCAAGTCCTGGTATGAAACTCATCAACGGTACGCACTCAACACTCCTGCTACTTGCAGGAACCGAATCCAACGCCTTCAGCCTTGTACACGAATGCTTAACCGCTGGACCACTGAGCTGGCATCGAACGGTGTTAGTGTGGTGCCCGCTACTTGTAAGTAGTATATAACGTGAGTGTCAGCGTAATGTCTGGCAGCAGAAGATGGAGGGGAAGATCAAGAAAGGAAGAGTGGGAACACAATATGGAATTTGTATGAAACGCATGTATAGTGATTGAAATGTCAGACAATGGATTGATGATGGATTGAAGATTGATGTGCAAATTAACCGTTTACGATATGGTTTTCCTATTTTACTGCGTAACTGCCTACATCCAACAGCGTTGAACAGCACTGGTTACGTCTTCTCCTAGAATTTCCTCAAGAAGCTAGTCACTAGTGAACACAATGTATGATTTTTTTATTATAGAGTTAGTTATAGAGATCATTGTGTTTTACATTGAAACCTTACTGGTCCGAAAAAAAAAACCCAGCATTTCTTTTCATGCATAAAAATTACACGAATATCCTTAATAAGACGCATGATAAATTATTCATAACTAACAACCCTATAAAAAAAAACTAACAGATAAGAGAGAGAGAAATAAAAAAAACATTAAAAGGTGTAGTCTACTTTGATCATTTGTATTTTGTCATTATTGTCACAATTATAATTATTATTATTGTCAAAACTACTTGTTATTGCATAAGACAACATGAGTATGTGTATTGAACGAGTTGTTGAACTCACTCACTCACTCTCTCGCTATCTAGCTCTCTCTCCCCGCCTATCGAACTGTATATTTTTTTAATGGTACTTATTCAGAAAAAAACATTCTACAACATTACTATTATTATTCAGTTGTCAAAACACTAGTGTGTGTGTTATCTCAATGAAATTTACTCATTAATGCATACTTTTGTCTATCTTATCTGTCAAATGCTTTTAAAACGTATTTAGTGTCTTTCTCTCTCTCTCTCTCTCACTCTCTCATTGTTTAAGATTTCTATCCTAGTTAATTTTATTCCTCAGTTGGTTTTTCCAGTTGATTGGGTCTTTTGTTTTGTATCGAGTGCATAAAGTGTCTTCTGTTCAATCGTTTCGCACAGTTAGTTGGTTACGCTTGTTACTCCATAGTGGAGTATAGGTCACTGACCAGCTTTTCCTGTGGTTAGCGGTGTTTTTTCTTTCGAGAGTTAGTGTTTCTACGGCATGTTCAATCCTGCTGATTTCGGCAGTGTTGGGACAGGCAGTAATCCTCCTAGAACAGCTACAGGCAAAGGTGAACTGTTTCACTGAATATTGAACAAATGAGAGGCTATAATGATGATAGTTTTCATGTACCGCCTCATAGTTTTCAGTTCAATAGAAAGTAGTGTCAGCTTTTTGTCAGGATTCCATGTTGAATCGAAGGTTAATTGACTCTGACTCCAGATTTACTGGCGATTCCTTTGGTAGTGAACGAGAACACAGGTGGGGCAACCGGATTGTATTTATTCTGGATACCACTGCTAACACCGTTTCATCTATTTTACATGAACTTGTGTCACAATGGCCATATCGAGGTGATTCTTAAAGGACACTTACTTGTTAACTAAGACTGATGGAATTTTAGTGCAAATATGAAAAAAACGAGATAATCTAAAATACTTACTAACTTACTTGCCTACACCTGTTACCTCCAATCGAGTATAGACCGCCGACCAGTATTCTCCTAACTACTCTGTCCTGGGCTTCCAATTTCCGTTCATTCTTCTCATGTCTGTCTCCATTTCTCGTAGTAATGTGATTCTTGGTTTTCATAATTTCCTCAGAACTTGAAGTTTCCAAGTGAGAGCTTGTCTTGTGACGAAGTTGAGTGCTTTCGGCAGTGTAAGTGTCCGATCCACCAACTCCTGATTTCCTCTTTCACTAGAATCTGGTTTGATCTCTCCCAAAGTAGA